GTGTGGGAGCTGAGGAGTGAAGAAGGGAGAAGACTCATTCAGACTTTAAGGAGAATGTGTCTATTGGATTGTTTTCTTGCTAAAAGAAGAGGCCTCACTGCCTAAAATGCTCAGTTTCAGGAAGGATTTTGGCATTGAGGGCAAGAGAGGGTAAAAATATTCAGCTCCTCCTTGGCTGTGCCACTTTGTGGCTGTGTGGCCTTGGAAGAATCACTTTCCCTCTTGGGCTTCAATCTTACCAATGAGGAAATTGGGGCAGATGAGCTGTAGGGATCAACCCAATCTTCATACACTCTGGTTCTCTGGATGCTGAAAAGTCACAGAACATGGAATGCTGCAGATCTACAGATTTTCACCACCACAAAACACAGGCCAAGCTCATTGAGTTTACACCCAAGGATTCTCAGGGCTGCTCTCATCAGGTTCCAGTTCTCTTTACACACTGGGGTCAAAGGCCTCTACCCTTGATACCTGTACCTACACCCAGTATGGTATACAACCCTTACAAATCACAGTCCCTCTTTGAGCTTGCTCCTTGTACAGACAAAACACAAAAATTTGCTCCATTTATTATAAAGTCTTAATATTCTCCCCAGGACCCTTGAATGGATCTCATCACAGCCAATGAGATCTCATCTCATCCATTTTGGGCATGGAGTCCATTAGACACTGATGAGAGAGCAAAGAAAACCTTGTTCTGTCTGTGTGCCTCTGGACATCACAACCTGTCTATGGTGAGCCAAATTTCATCAGGAATCAAAGAAAAACAAATTAAAGTGACATCAAGTTATTATTCTTTACCTATCAAATTAGCAAAAAGCTCTTTTTGTAATGATAATCCCAGAATTTCATAAGATCAAGAAAATAGCATTTACATACTACCCTTGTAGGAGTATAAATTGGCACAAACTTTTTGAAAGGAATTTGGCAACATCCAAAGCCTTAACATATGCACACTCTGCAGTCCAGGAATTCTATTTCTAGAAATCCATAATGGCCACCTGCTTTTCTTGTCCACCCAGCATTTATTCCACCCTCTTCTAGGGACAGTCCCTTGATTCTCCTTTGAGGAACTATCCTTTCCTCATTTTCAGTTCATGGGGTTCAGGTGAGGCTGGCCCCGCTTCCCTGGCCCCACCAATCCACAGATGTAAATAATAAGAGAAAAAGAAAGAAACTAAGGATCTACAAAACAACCAGAAAACAATTTACAAAATGGCAGGAATAATTCTAACATACGGGTAATAGCCTTACATGTAAATGAATTAAACTTGCCAATTTAAAGATATAGAGTGGGTGCATGGATAAAAAACAAGACCCAACGATATGTTACCTACAAGATACTCATCTAACTATTAAAGACAAACATAGACTGAAAGTGAAGGACTGGAAAAGGTATTACATGCAAACAGAAACCAAAAGTGAGCAGAAGTAGCCATCCTCATATCAGATAAATTAGACTTTAAATCAAAAACTGTAAAAAGACACAAAGAAAATCATCGTATAATGATAAAGGGATCAATTCAATAAGAGAATATGACAGTTGTTAACATATATGCATCCAATACCAGAGCACCCAGATATATAAAGCAAACATTATTAGATCTAAGGGGAAAGATAGATTGCAACTTAATAATAGTAGGGGACTTTAAAACCCTGCTTTCAACAATGGACAGATCATCTAGACAGAAAATAAACATCTGACTTAAACTGCACTGTAGACCAAATGGACCTTTGTAGATATTTACAGAACATTTCATCCAACCGCTACAGAATACACATTCTTCTCAACTGCACATGGAACGTTCTCTAGGATAGATCATATATTAGGCCACAAAACAAGTCTACACAAATTTAAAAAGTTAGAGATCATATCAAGCATCTTTTCTGACCACAGTGATATAAAACTAGAAATCAACAAAAAGAAAATTTCAGAAACCTTACAAATACATGGAAATTAAACAACATGGTCCTACACAACAAATGGATTAATGAAGAAATTGAAAGGGAAATTTAAAACTTCCTTGAGACAAACAATAATGGAAACAAATCATACCAAACCTATAGGAGATGGAAAAAGCAGTTCTAAGAGGAAAGTTTATAGCAATAAATGCCTACATCAAAAAAGAAGATTTCTAATAAACAACATACAATGCACCTAAAAGGAACTAGAAAAACAACAACAAACTAAACCCAAAATTGGCAGAAGGAAAGAGATAATAAAGCTCAGAACAGAAATAAATGAAACAGAAACTAAAAAAAAAAAAAATTGAAAAGATTGGTGAAACACAGAGTTGGTTTTTTGAAAAGATAAAATTGATGAACCTTTAGCTAGGCTGACAGAAGACTCACATAAGAAAAATCAGAAATGAAAAAGGAGACATTACAACTGACACCACAGAAATACAAAGAATCATAAGAGACTATTATGAACAACTATATGCCAATAAATTTGATAACACAGAAGGAATGGATAAATTCCTGGACAAATACAATCTAGCGAGATTAAATTATGAAGAAGTAAAAAATCTGAACAGACCAACAACAAATGAGGAAATTGCTGTAATCCTCTTCTGCGATGTCTGCAAATGGTTCAGTGGCCTAGACTGCGGGAGTTTGTGCCAATACTGGCTCTGTTTTGCTAGGTCAGAGATTCCAGGGGGGTTATTCGGCCACATGTGTACCAGGTGCAGGAGCCAATTGGCTCTTTGGTGGTCTCTTTGAGGAGCAGAATCACTGCCTGAATTGCTATCAGGCCAGGCTTGGGCATGCAGCTCTGAACATGTCTCTCCCAGGAGGTGGTGCTCTGCCTGACAGCTTTGGTGCTGGAAACAGGTATGCCTGGGTGCAGGGTAGGTCAAGCAGCTCTGCAAAGGAGACTGGATGCCACTGCCTGGCCAGGAGCTGTCATGTGCAGGGACAGCAGACCAGGTGGCTCTACAGAGGCCTGCTGGAGGAAGCAGTGCTGCTGCCTGATTGCTGTGGGTCAGGGATCAGGCGTACACTACTATGGCAGGTCCCTGCAGCTGTGTGGAGGGCCACTGGGGGAAGGCGAAGCTACCACCAGCCTGGTGTGGAAACCTGTGGGCTGAGAATGCACACAAAGGTGGTGGACCAGCCACTTATTGGTAGCTTCCTGTCTAAGCAATGTACCTGTTCTCCTGGAGGGTGAGGGATTGCTGCATGTGTTCAAATGCTGGGGTCTCGGTCTTTCTGTCTGGCCTAGGCTCCAGGCAGCCGGGGTCGGGGCCCTGCCAGCACCCATGTGAACACGGTAGAATGAAGGTGGAGCCTCAAGATGGGGGAAGTCAGTTTCCATTGGCCCCCAGGGCAACACATTCTCTAGTAGCAGATTCACTTCCAAAATGGTGCTGTGCCACAGCCGCTTAGGTCAGGAGACTGCAGATTGCTCTATTAGAGCTTCTACTATGAGGCTGTGCAGCTGCACAAGCTCCCAGTTATTCTCCAAACTGGGTTTGGGCCTATGAGGACTGGGAGTATTAGCTGGGGTTTCTGCATCCTACCTTCTCTCCACCTGACTCTGAGCCAGTTTCTTCAGGGAGAGAGTGAGGCAGAGGCAGCATGCCTTGCTCTGCTCTCTATGGTATTATCCTGGTTTTCCGTGCTCCACATTTTGTCACTACCCTGGTGCTCTGCAGGATATTTTTTCAGTCATGCCAGTCAAAATCTAGTTGTTGCTCTGTTGTTTTGGTCTCATTTTGTTGCAGGGGGATGAACACCAGACAATCTAGTTGGCCATCTAGCTCCGCCCTCTCCCAATCTGTATTATGTTTTTTTCATTAGAAAAGTGGTTTAATATTGGGGACAGAACTGAAAAACTGCATCAAACAATAATATACATTACAAAAATAAGTTTGACTGTTTCAACTACGCATTTATGTTCACAATGAGGACAGAAGAATCAGAAAAAACTTTGCTCTAAACAGCAAAAAAAAAAAAAAAAAACCCTAAAGTTTTAACTAATATATTTATCTACTTAAAGTGATTTGAGTACTTCTAAATCTAATTACCTTATTGTGTAACTGCATAATAAGAATAGTAAGTGAAACTAAGCTCTGTATTTTAAGACAAAATTTAAATGCTAGATACAAGCAAAGGGGAAAAAAGAAAACAAGCCCAAGTTTTTAATTCTCAAAAGAAAAGCAACTTTCTATCAACCAGAAATCAAA